TCCAATAACCTTATGAGGTATAAATTCCATTATTACCACCATTTGCATTTGGTGACCATATAAAGACTCGAAGAAATTAAGTCACTTACCCAAAGCACTCCCCCACTCCACCCCCCTTCCTCACACAGACACCCTTCCAGAAAGTAATTGGTCTGTTTGACTCCAGAGCCAGAATTTCCCTAGTGCACTCTGCTGGATCTCTTAAGAAAGTCATTTTTCCTCCCTGAATCTGCTTCCTCTTGCAAAGATGAAAGAGTGAAGTGAAATGCCCTCAGGTCTCTTTCAGATCTATTTCTACCTACATAGGTGTTTTATTCAGCAGCTGACAAACTGGGGCCCATGGGCCAAATCCAGCCAGCCCATTGTTTTTATAGAGTTTTATTGAAATACAGCCACGCATATGCATTTATGCATTGTCTATAACAGCAGAGTTAAGTATTTGTAAAAAAAAAAAAAAAAAAAAAAAAAACTGTATAGCACACAAAGCCTAAAGTACTATCTGGCACTTTATAGATGATGTATCCACCATTCCAATCAAGATATTGGACTTTCTAGCACTCCAGAAAGCTCCCTCATAACCCATCCCTGTGAATATCCAAAAGTAATGCTGATTTTACCTTCTATCACCATGGATTCATTTTTCCTGCTTGTTAACTTCACATAAATGGAATCACACAATATATACCCTTTTGTGTCTGAGAAAGGTATTCTACAAATTCCTTGCTACCAACTTGGAAAATTGAGAAATACAAATAAGGAAACAAAATTCACCCTTAATGACATCATCCAGAAATAATCACTTATTTATTCAACAAGTATTTTATTGAGTAACTGCTATTTAGCAGGCAACTCTCCAGTCATTGCAGAGTAAGACATGAGACAGTCCCTGCTCTCATGAAGCTTATTGTCTGTGGTGTATTTTTTTCCATGTCAAAAGTCCCATGTCCAGCCCTGGCCGGTTTGGCTCAGCAGTTAGAGCATCGGCCTGCAGTCCAGAGAGACCCAGGTTCGGTTCCCGCTAGGGACACGTATCTCAGTTGCAGTTTGTCCCTGGCCCTGGTTGGGTCGAGCGAGTGGCAGCCACTCGATGTGTCCCTTTCATGTCGATGTTTCTCTCTCTCTCTTTCCCTCCCACTCTGTCTGAACAAGGAATGGAAAGGTGTCCTTGGGTGAGGATTTTAAAAAGTCCCATGTCTAGTACTACATAGCCCAAAGGCCTGGAAATGGACACACTGGTAATTTAGGACCATTTAGAAATTTCAAATTATGGAAAAGTAAGGGAACTTATATAGTCATCCAGATCAACTGGCCGTTTTTCGAAAGCAGGATTAGAGGCCCAGAGAAAGTGCTCACAGAAACCTTTGGGAAGGTGAAGCATCATCCAGAAAGGAACGCTATATCCAGAGCTAGAACTCTAGGCTACTAACCCTGTAGTCTAGAATGTTCTTCAGGCTGTGATACTGCTCTCTAACAGTAAGGCCCTTAATCTCCTTCTAAAGACTAGCCAGGGTCAGTGGGAGTCTTGGCGAGTGGAGTAATAGAGGATGAAGAATAGACTCTCCCTGCTATAAGCAAAGCAGGGTAACCATGGAAAGTAGAAGAAAGACTGTAGACAAAAAAAGAAATATCGCTTATGCTGCAAAGTTACAGGAGAGCTGAGTCCCCAGGGACCACATTGCCATTCTGTGAAATTTCCAATATGGTGCTTGGAAAAGCTTAACAGAGTGATAAGCCAGCTGATTTTAAATAGTCTTACACACCAGTGACTGCATCTTCCATAGAAAATCTTGGAATTTGAACTGTGGATTCAGTTTGAGTAGAAAAACCTGATATGGTCTCTATAAATTCAGTAACTCTTTTTTAAAAAGGCTGGAAATCAGAGCCCAAAGAGATCAGCTGCATCATTTCCTTGTGTGTTTTCATGATGTGCTTTTTTTATGTGAGCCTGTCATAATCCAGAAACCTGCAGTTATTAACTCATTTAACCTTCACAAAACCATAGAAGAGCATTATCATTTCCCACATAAGGAAACTTGAGGGTCAGAAAGATTATGTAACGTGCCCAAGTCACACAGTTGGTTAAGCAGATCTAAGACCCAAATTTAGGTCTGTTGATCCAACATCTACCCTCTCTTCTCTGCTGTGAATCCTCCACTTCTCCCTAATAGACTCCCCCCTTTCAACTCACCTTCTCCCAAAGCAGTAAAGGCTGGAGACCTTTGTCCTTCATCCTAAAGCCTTGTTCAAAAGTCCTGAGCCCCAATCTCAGCATTAATGCTTCCTTAAAATGTCCTGTGTCTAATTTTTCCATCTTTACAATGGGGCTGCTATATCAGTTCATCACCACCTTATCCTATGTGAAGCATAAACAAAGTATTTCCACTGTACTCTTGCTCCCTTTATTTGGGGAAGTTTATCCAAAGGGTTTTATGAGATAATTCATTTAGCTAGCACTTTTGACTCACATCCTGAAGGACTATCTGCTGGGATGCTTACATTTTTCCTTTTAAATTTCCATATGGAGGGGTAGGTAGTGGATCTGTTCACAGATCTACAATTGCAGTTTCCATATGGAGGAGTTAAGTACTCTGCCTGTTCACAGACCTACAGTTTTGCTCTAGGTGGCATGCACAAGGTAGATCTGGGGGGGTGGGAGGGGATGTACAGGAAGTTGCTGGATATAAATAGACAGATCACCTCTGCAAGACTATTTGGACACTCATAGAAAGTTTCCCTATACTTTGTGAAACTTTCTGTACATTCTCATGGTTTGCTTGGGGTAGGGGAGAGAATGGGTTTGCTGTCACCTGAATTTTAAGAGAGAGGGAAGCTTGAGAGTCAGACTGGGCACACAGCAGTTGGAACTACAGATCAAAGTTTTGTTGCTGAAAGGGAAGTGATTGCTGGTTTTTTAATGGGTTTTTCCAGCTAAACACAGAAACTGATATTCATTACATTTGACTGCTTCTATCATGATAGCAAGTGAGAGACAGGGACAAAGAGCTTGTTCTCCAGGGACCTTTACTCTCAACACTTCATTATCTTGGTTGAGGGGAGGCAGAGAATATTCTCCCAGTGGGTGGAATTGTGAGGGGCAAGGACCTGCCATACGTCACAACAAACTAGAAGACAATAAGGTGAAATGAAGGAACCTAATTTCCATGAGCTTATTACCCCTTTCTCCAGGAGAAACTGAGATAGTGCAAGCCTCCCCCAGGGCTCCAGGCACACAACCACCCCCCTTCTCTGTGACTCCTAGCACAGCGGTCCAGGCATCTGAAACAGATTCTGTATTTAAAAGAGGCAGCCTAGCTCCTTAGCTCCCGGATGGATCAGTCACACCGGGAGGATCAGCCCTCATACATCTAGATTTGACTCTGAATCAAGCAGATTGAAAGCTGTTGACCCTTCCTCCCCCACGATGAAATTCCACTCTTCCAGAAACTAACCCCAACTTCCTCCTAATTATATGTTAAAGGCGAGAAAGGTAGGAGAATTTGTTTAGAAGCACCTTTGCAAATTCCCTGCGGATTCTGAATTTTTGTCTCTAATCTCCCAGTCCCTCCAACCCCAGCGCTGGATCTGCCTGACTTTGAGAACTCTAAGCCTCGAGAGGGGCTAGATTTTACCACTGAGAACTGGCTTCCTGCCTCCGCAGACTGCAAAGTATTATTAGACTAAGGGGTTTCATAGGTGGTCTCCCTCAATACACACAAGGCCCCTCCCCCTGCACTGTAGGTATCGGTATTTTACAGATGAAACTGAGGCTAGGAGAAGGGGAAAGTGGTCCCTTGCCCCAGAACCTATAGGTCTGTGACCGGTGGCTTCTTAAAAAAGCCCGGTCCCCTCTTTCTTCTGCAGGTCAGGACGGAGTGACCCTCAGGCTTCCTTCTTGCCCCCTCCACGTCCCAGGGAGATGCAGGTGAAAATCCTATAGTGCCGAAAGTTTCCCGACCTCCTTCCCCGGGTGGGGGGAAAAACGTCTGTTGCTCAGCGGCTTGGTGAACGCCTTCTCGTCGTGCGCCATCTCCCGCCGCGGCCGCCGCGACCTCCGTCTGCAGTCCAGGCCCGCCCAGACTCCAGGAACCGCCTGTGTCCCGGAGCTGTGAATAAACAGAAGTCAAGGTGGGACATAAGGTTTCAACCGTCCACCCAGACGTATGCAGGCCAAGCCTCGCTTTCACTGCTGGAAAGGAGGCCCGGAAAGCCGGGGCGCTTTGATATTCCGGGATTAAGCTGAAGAGCACGGCCCAGGCGTCCAGCTCCCCCGCGGCTTGGCCAGGCTAGGTGCTGGGGCAGCGCGTGTGCTTGGGGAACTCAACTTTGGCTACTCCCCCTGGCCATAAATTAGCCTGCGCCTCCTTCTCTCTCGCCTATGCTCAGAGGCGACATTTCTGCAAATCCAAAACACCAGACCCGGCTGGCGAGAGCTTGGGGTCTGCAAAGTGGTAACCTAGATGGATCTGAACCGGGTCTCTGCAATCCGCGCTCACCCCACCTAACACCCCCCTTCCCCCAGGTCTCGGCGTCCATTCCCAAACGGCCAGGATCTCCACCCAGCTGGCTCTCCCGGCCCACCACCTGCGTCGTTGGGACGCCTTAGAGGGCCTCTACTCTCCCCTCCTCCTCCATCTCCTTGTTCTAAGAACACTCCAACTTCCTCCATCTCTCACCTGAACCCCCGAAGCGCAGTTTCTTCTTCTTTCCAGACTAAAGCTGGACCTGCGGCCGGTGGAAAAGCCCCAGGCTGCAAGCTACTTGCTTAAGTCCAAAGGTCAGCTAAAGTTTGACTGATAAACAGAACTAGTACAAGAAGGCCTTCAGCCCCCCAGCGTGAGTACAATGGATCCTGCAAGCCCCGCTCCCGCCCGGGTCTGCAGCTCTCCACGACTGCCCCTCAAGTTCTCCCTTTCTCGGTTTTCCCCCCTCCCCATGATCATTTGCATCTTGCCGAAAGCCGGGCCCTCCCCGCTGATTTGCATATCTTATATGGCCTAATGGTGGCGATCATGGCCAGTTAGAAGTTTTCTGACTTCTCGGAGGAGACTCCGGGACCCCGGGGAGTAACAGGTGTCTGGAGGCTGAAGGGTGGGGGGCTTCCTGGACTTGGGGTTCGCTTGTGAAACTCCCCGCCACCCACCCTCTTCTCTCGCACCCACACACCCCCTTCTTTTTCTGTCCTTGGAAAATGGTGTCCAAGCTCACGTCGCTCCAGCAAGAACTCCTGAGCGCCCTGCTGAGCTCCGGAGTCACCAAGGAGGTGCTGGTCCAGGCCTTGGAGGAACTGCTGCCATCCTCGAGTTTCGGGGTGAAGCTGGAGACACTGCCCTTGTCGCCCAGCAGCGGGGCCGAACCCGACACCAAGCCGGTCTTCCATACTCTCACGAACGGCCACGCCAAAGGCCGCTTGTCCGGGGACGAAGGCTCCGAGGACGGGGACGACTATGACACCCCTCCCATCCTCAAGGAGCTGCAAGCACTCAACACCGAGGAGGCGGTGGAGCAGCGGGCAGAGGTGGACCGGATGCTCAGGTAGGTGCGGACAGAGGTGGAAAGTATGCACCCGACCCCTTGAGCCCTGGGCCTTATACCTGGGCGACCCTACGCCCGACCACTCTCGCCATGCCTGTTACCCACCAGAGAAGTCCCCGGGGGCGCGCCTCTTCTTTTCCCAACACCTGGACCCCTCCCAATCTCTCAACCGGATGGCCAGGAGCCCCGGGGCTTCATCTCCCCCTGCTCAGGCTAGTTAGTGTACAGGGCTCAAGAGGCCCTCCCCGCAGAGCTGGAGCTCGGCCTGGGAGAACCTGAGCTGTGGAGCCCTTTGCCTGGGGGTTCGCCCACGCGACTGAAGGTGCGAGTGGGTGCAGTGAAACAACGGTGGTTTCCCAGGAGCAGAGGCTCGGGTCGCACAAGTCGCAGGCCACTCATTTCTCCCCGGCCTCTTCTCCGGTCAGGGAAAACGCAGGCCGGCCTATGGCACAGCGTCCTGCTGTACTTTGCAGAGGGACAGGCGGCACCCAGGGCCGGGATCTGGGGGAGAGTTCTCAGGTGGGCACTCCCATCTGCAGCGCCCATGCAAGGCCCCAGGATTATCCGGAATCCCCAAACCGGTTTAGATCTGCAAAGGGAAAGGTTTGCATGTTGTAGGGTCAGGGTGGACCCGCACGGGGCAAAAGAAATTGCACATATCTAAGCAAGTATGGGGCAAACGCGGCTCAAACCCCAGTTCGCAGCGGATCTGGTCGCAACTAGAGAAAGGAGGGCGTTTCCTGACCTCGTCACTGACACCCCGGCGTCCCTGAGGAATTCAGGCAACTGACCGGCGGTCTATCACCCGGTTCAGGATTGTTTGCTGGGCCTAGTAGACCGGCTTGGGACTTTGACAGCTGGTTACTAATTATTGAAGGAGCCGAGAGGTTCCTTAGACTGCATGTCGCTCCCGGTCACTTCGCTTTAGGACTGAGCCCCTCGAGTGACTTCGGACACTTCAGCGTCGGGGTTTAAAGGCAGGGCCAGGACCAAAGTCTCGTCCTGGACTCCGGCAGCCTCGGTTGCACGCTCGCAGCGGCAGTTTGGAATGGGATATGACCTTGCATTTGAATTTGCTATCTGAGGTCCCCGGCGGCTTACTCTCTAGCAAAGACAATCAGGAGGACTTCTAGATTTTTCTTCCAAAAGTACTTTGCTACAATTCGTGGGCTTGAGGTTCTTCCCTCGTTGTTCCCCCGCGCGGTAGCCGGTTCTCCCCCACTGGGGTTTGGGCGCAGAAAGGTGAGAAGGGTCGGAAGGAGTGGCTGGAGGCCAGGGTGGCCTGGAGATTGACCAGGGCCTGGCGGACTAAACCGAGCTCCCGCTGCCTGCCAAGGGGCCTGCGGGGTCGAGGCCTACCGGCCTGGCCTCAAGACTCCTTCTTTTTAGCTGGGCTCTGGAGGAATCTAGGAAGCCCGGGGCGACCGAGGGTGCCCCTCCGCACCCAGCCCCGCGCAGGGCTGGACGCAGCACAGATGCAACATAAACTGCAGCACGTGGAGTTAGGGTGTTATTAATTTATTTCTATAAATCATCAACAGAAAGATACACAAAGAGTCGTGATTAGGTTGAAAAGAGGCGGGTTATTCATTGGTGAAGTTGTAAACGCGGTTTAGAGGGGGAAGGAAATCAAAACTCGGACGCCTGGCTGCTGGCTGCCGCCAACGCGCGCGCGCTCGCGCGCGCACACACACACGCACACGCACCGCGCTGCGGGGCGCTCGGACCGAGCCCCCTGGGCGCCACTTCAGCCCCCCGAACGCTGCCCCGGCTGCCGACATACCTGACAGCCCGGCCCGGGTCCCAGACCTCAGCCCTCTCTGCCCTCTGCAAAGCCCCAGCTCCAGAGGGCGGGGAGCAAGCCTAGGAGACCCAAGGCACTTGCCGGAGTGGAGACACAGGACAGACCCCAAGGTTTTTCTCCCCTTCCCAAGCTGGTGCTGCCTTCCCTCCCCCACCTTTGGGAGTTGTCGGCCTTTATTAAAGTAATTTTTCAAGAAATTGCTAACGGTTCCCAGGTCACTGCACAGTCGGCTCCCGAGCACCAGACACAAGCACTCCCCTTTTTGCCCACTCAGTTCCCCTAAGGCGGAAAGAAAAGAACAGGAAAAGTCGCTTTTTGGAGCGCTTGAACGCACCGTGTACCTTCTAGAAGAGAAAGGCGAGAAGGAAGGGTCAGGGACTGCGCGCTGCCGGGGACCCCGGCTCCAGGTCGAGCCGGACTCACCGGCCGGCCTCCAGGCTGGCGTGCTGGTGGCATTTGGAAAATTGACTGCTTGCTAAGAAGCCGAAGTTGAGGCTGTGCTGGGGTCCAGGGCGGTTCTGCTGTGGGCCGCGAAGGTATTGTTTGCAGAGGAGCGTGCTGGGCCGACACTGCCCGCGCCCAGGTCGGGCGTTTGACACCTGCGCTCGGAGCACAATGGCGGCGCGCGCTTCTCCGGACCCCTGTACACATCAGGGTTAGGAACCCTGAACATGAGGTGTATTTTCAAATTTTAAAAAGTAACCAGTTCTCCGAGCTCTTCCCGGTGAATATATGTAAATTCTGGGGTCAGAGAACTGTAAAGGTATTAACTGCGCCATCTTACCCCTAACTCTAGTCCTTTAATGCGGGCTTAAAGGTTTGCTATAGTTAATGGGGGTTTCCTGGGCTTTTTTTTTTTTTTAAACCTTCCAAATTGTTGAGCTAATTCTTTGCACAGGACCCTTAGCTCTTAGAACATTACACCATTTCACTAGGTTTCTTAGACACACAAAATGAACACAGGTAAAGAAACTGAAGCAAAACAAAAATAGCCAAAGACTTTGTAAAAGAAATATTAACTTTTAAAATGCAAATACTTTTTCCAACTTTAGACGTTATTGTTCCTATCTGCTGGAAGTGTTTTTCTACCCTGAAAATATCTGTGGAAATATTCGCCAGAAATAAGCTTTTAAATAATCTCTGATGTTTCCAAAATGTTATATCATTTTTCGCTTACTTTAGGTGAATTCTCCATGTTTGAAACTCTACTGCATTTTCTCATTATTTTTGTTCTTGTTGTTACTTCATTATATTGTATTACTTGGAAGTACCTTTTAAAATTCTTGAGAAATTCGTTAACTTATATTTTATTAATCTTAAAAGTTTGCATTTCCCCAAAACATCTATCCTCATGAATTTAATATCAAAGAACTGCTAGAATAATCAGTTATTCAAATGCTTACAAACGATCTCAGTTTAATTAATTATTAGATTTTTAATTCATTAAACAAAATTTATTTTATTTGACATATTATACCATTTAGAAATAAATTGTTTAATTAATCTGCAATACTATGTCTGACCTCTTTAAACCATTTTTTGTGTGTTTCGTCTGAAACTACATTTTCCTTTCATTTTTTTCATGTTCTATTAGGCTACTATATATATATCAACACACAGTAGAGGGATGCTGGTTTTTATAAAGCTAAATATGTAGCTGCATTAAACAAATAGTACATGTGGGTGTATTGCTACTTTAACACCTTTTTCTATACTATGCCTTATTTAATTTTTTGTTTTAAATGATATCTAAGTTTTAAGTCACCTATTCAACAAGCAAGAAAAGATATTGGCAAAGTTGAAAACCTTTTAAATAAGTAAAATTCAAAGGCATCAATACATTGTTTTTAAAAAGTTTTTTGCATACCTGTGTTTATGAGAAATGAAAACTATAAGCAAGTTATTGTCTCAAACTTGAAATTTAGGAGAAAACTTGCCTTCCAGATACTCTTACCCTATCAGAGCTAAAATGTAGGAATGCAGGAAAACAAGGCCTTGGGGATCGGTAATATCTTATTCCGAAATTAAAATTATTAGTCCCCATTAGGTTTTATTTGGGAGGAGTGGCTGTGGTGAATTTTCTTTTTTAACTTGACTTGCTGGCCTCAGTGGAATGATTTTTCAGTCCCAGGGAAGAACTTTATTGTACTTCTTAAAACTCTTCTAAAATTCTGAAAGCCATTTAACATTTTACTAAGAAGTCCTCCTTGTATCTCAGGAGGTGGACATATATGTTTTACTCCTATTTGATAAGACAAGAAACTGAGACACTCATTCAGAAGGAAAATAATGTGGGAGAAGTCTAGGTGAATTTAGAAACTGATGCTGCCCCCTATCCTAGTAGGATCAGTCAGCCCAGTACCAATCAAATGGCATCTCTGCTTTCCAATGCGCTTCCTGCCTTTTAAGTCTCTCACATTCCAGGCACATGAAGGAAAGTAAAATAAAATAGGATCTTTTCTTCCTGCTTAACAGGAGAGAGTACTGGTAGTTCTTTCCCATTCCTCAGGACAGGAAGTCATCTTCATCTTTCCCCTCCTAATCTCAGAAGAAAGGGATGGAGTGTACTATAAAGGAGCTTTCATATAGTACTATATAGGTTCTATTTGGCCTCACATCTTTCGCAAGGATATATCTTGAACAGGTGAAGAAATAGGTGAAGATCAGAGTTTTGCACAGAGTTTAGGTAAAACCCGTAGAAAGGCAGTATTTCTCTCCAGACTTCTTCCACCAGCATCCTAACCATCTGTTTATTTATCTAGTGAGGACCCTTGGAGGGCTGCCAAAATGATCAAGGGCTACATGCAGCAACACAACATCCCCCAGAGGGAGGTGGTTGATGTCACGGGCCTGAACCAGTCACACCTCTCACAGCATCTCAACAAGGGCACTCCTATGAAGACCCAGAAGCGGGCTGCCCTGTACACCTGGTACGTCCGAAAGCAACGGGAGATCCTCAGACGTAAGTGTTTTCATCCCACCTCTGCCTCAACCTGGAGTGACCTTTGCCCTAACTCTGACCTCTGGGATACCTCAGTTTTCCCTTCATCAAGAAAGCCTGTGTAGCATTTGGTAAATATAAGGAAGCTGGCAGGTGGATTTGGCCTTCATACTTGCTGTATGATGGATTACTTTATATCATTTTCTTCTTCCATGGTTCCTTTACTACCCAGCCAGGTGTTTTGACAAGTCCTTCAGTATGTGCAATTTACCTCGAATTTTTTGGTTCCTGCTTCCAACATTTTTCTCCTTGAAATAAAGCGGATAACAGTGGAATATCATCCTCAAAGTATGCAAAGCAGCTCCCCTTGACACATAACCACAGACTAGAGTTCCCAAGAAAGACATTTCATAACCATCAATAATATTGATCGCTATTACTATTACATTTTCTCCCCTCTGAAAAAAATTTATTTTAAAAAATAGAGAATGTTTGTGTATGTATACATATATTCAGAACCCAACCCTGTTATTTATTTATTTATTTATTTATTTATTTATTTATTTTGTGTGTTGGGAGGGGGGGGTGTTGGTGATTGAGTTCTGAAGCAATTTAAGGTGCTTACTCATATTTACCAAAACTGGTAGAGTTTGGGAACCTCAGCAGGTGACCTTGTCTAATAAAGAAGCTGCTTCTGGCTAAGGCAGGACGCAGTAAAAGTGTCTGTATTTGGAATTCTGACAATCAGTTCTGTGATTCTCATTCTCATTCCCCAAATTTCCTTTCTGTCCCAAGATTTCTTTCACTCAATAATACTGAGAGATTTTTGTTTTGCAGTCTAGGGAAGTTTGGACTTCATTTGAATGACCAGAGTATGAATGACATACTCTTTTTATTTTAGGAAAGTATACTTTTACATTATACTTTAATTATTTTGATCCCATCTTTTCCTAGGAAATTTTTATATGAGTGTTCAGTCTTCCACACACTGTCCCTGGGCTGTGGGTTTCTCTGTCTTTGTTAAGATATTAGTTTCCACCATTTTCTGGGTTGGTCTTTTTTCTCTCTCACTGGATGGCCACTTTTTTTTTTTTTTGCATTTATTTTCAGATAGAGCGGGAGGGAGAGAGGAAGAGAGAGAGAAACATCGACATGAGAGAGACACATCGAGTGACCACCACCCACACAACCCCAACCAGGGCTGGGGACAAACTGCAACCGAGGTACGCGCCCCTAGCAGGAACCGAACCCGGGCCTCTCTGGTCCGCTGGACCACGCTCTAACCGCTGAGCCAAACCGGCCAGGGCTGGATGGCCACTTTTAAAAATCACTCTTGTGCCCTGGCCGGTTTGGCTCAGCGGTTAGAGCATTGGCCTGTGGTCTAGAGAGACCCGGGTTCGGTTCCCGCTAGGGGCTCGTACCTCAGTTGCAGTTTGTCCCCGGCCCTAATTGGGTCGTGCGGGTGGCGGCCACTCAATGTGTCCCTTTCACGTCGATGTTTCTCTCTCTCATGTTTTTGTTCTCTCTGAGCAAAAAATGGGAAAATGATCTTGGGTGAGGATAAAAAAAAATCACTCTTGTTTTCTGTCATACACTGCTCCAAAGTGATTGTTTCAGTATTTATTGTCTCAATTTCTAGAGGCTAGAAAGGCCTTCATGATGGAAGGAAAGGTTTTTTGTTTTTTAATTTTTTTTTTATTTTCAACCGAGGACATTCTTACATTTATTGTCAGATAGTACATTTATTGTCAAATAGAGCAGGAGGGAGAGAAGGAGGAAGAGAGAGAGAGAAACATCGATTGTGAGAGTGACACATCGAGTGGCTGCCACCCACACGACCCCCACCAGGGTCAGGGACAAACTGCAACCGAGGTACGTGCCCTTAGTGGGAACTGAACCCGGGACTCTCTGGTCAGCCGGCAGACACTCTAACCGCTGAGCCACACCGGCCAGGGCGGAAGGAAAGGTTTTTTAGGCACTCATCTCATATTGTTGGAAGCATTAAATGGATAGATTAGAAGCAGCAAAGTGAGAGCTCTTTGCTGTGTCAGGGAAGGGACTCTGGGTTGATCCACCATCTGTGGTCACAAGGTCTGGAGAAGTTGGGGTTTCTGACATAAAGCAACTCTCTGTAATACCTGAAAAGTCCATTATCAGGAGCCTAGCCCGTGAGACATCTTTGTGTTCAACGGGAGTCCCTCAGAAAGGAGAGGGAGGCAGGAAAGGCCAACCAGAAGCTTCTAAAAAGACAAGAAGTACCAGAAATTTCTCAAGATACTTAAGAAGGGACATTTTACAAAAATTTATGATAGTCTCTGCAAGGGATTTTTTAAGATTGTTGTTGTCATTGTTATTGTTATTGTTATTGTTCAAAGTCAAACGAGACATAAAGCTTAAGAGCTTAAGAAACATTTCTTCTTCCTGTAAATATTATGTGAGTTCTTATTAGGTACTGAGCACTGTGCTGGACTATGGGATACACAGGTCCTTTTCTCCAGAGACTTACAATCTAATGAAGGGATAAAATGTTTGAATAAATAATGACAACTTCTTTGTAAAGGCTGTTATAAAGGCATGGACAAGGGGCATCAGAGGAATTGCTGAGCTGCCTAAAGACATCATGGAGGGCTTCCTAGAGGAGGTGACATTTGAACCAAAGTCTGATGGATAAATATAACACACAATCATGAAATAAAAATTAGGAAGTGAGATAAACAAAACAGGGACACAGTGAATGGGGTGGGAAGAAGGAGAATGAGAGGAAAGAATTTTAAAAAGGTATTACTTGATGACAAATTTTCTTGAAAAACCAGTAACAATAAATGGTAATATTCATGGACACTTCTATACATATAGAATCTCTTTATCCAAGCCAGCTTCTGGGCCTACAGTGGTGAACATTTTCTTTCTCTTCTTACCACCCCCTCCCCCCCACCACCATTAATCTGGAAAGAAATAGAGGAAAGTTGGTGGTGGCTGAAGGACCCAGGAGAATCTTTCTTCAAAAATTGAGAGAGGGTAGGGCCAAGGCTCTGAGGTGGGTAGAGCCTGGATGTTTCTGAGCACCTACAGGCAAGTCAGCCTGGCTGAGCCTGGCATGCACTGGGCTCTGAACACCATGCAGGCTGCTGCCTTCTCAAAGGGCAGCTGACAGACAGGCAGCCCCCACACCATGGGTGGCTCTGAATGTGTTTCACGCCCACCACAGACAAAACTTCAGGATTCAGTTTTGTTACCTCCACCTAAGTCAGATTTGAAGGTTTTGTAGGTGTATTGTTTGTGTTTTGGTTTTAGGGAGAAGTGATGCAAAGGCTGCTGGTTAGGAGCCTTAGGGTCCATAGGCAGAGTTCACATCTTGGCTTCTGTCCCACATCCATGTGACTTTGGGCAGGTCACTTAACCAGCTTGAACCTTGGTTTCTTCATCTGTAAAATGGAGATAGCAATACTTGTTGCATGGAGTGGTTGTGAAAATTAGATGCAGGAACCCATTTAGAGAACTTTGTTCAATACCTCACCATAGAAATGGTTCAATATGTTAACTGTTAGTACATCTATTCTCATCAAGTGAAGAACCTCAAATTGATCCTGGGTCCTTGGGCTTAGCCATACTGGGTTTGGCTATTATTCACGGTGATGCCACAGGGCCACAGGGAGGAGAGAAGGCCCTGAGACAGACCCACTGAGCAGGGAACTTCTCTCTGCCCTTCTGATTGATTGTCCCTAAAGTAGCTGCACTTGGATTGCTATGAAGACTAAATGATACAGGAGATATGAAAGGACTTTGCAAAGTATAACTTCCATAGGAATTTGGGTCATCATCATCATCCTGACTCGGGGTAGATGTTCTCAAGATATTTGGGGTCCCTTAGATTTTCAACCAGTCCCATTCCACAGATGGGGAAGCTGAGAGACCAGGGATTTAAGTAACTTGGCTGGGGCTCTACATTATTCCATTGAGTCAGTAACTTCCTGCCAGTAAATTTGGCAGAAACTCTCCTAGTTATCTAAAGGAGTTGTTGGGGACCAGTGGAAACAGAGCCCTAAGTGGCCTGAGAATCATTGAAAGTGGGTGGGACTTAAATCAAAGGCCCCAGTGGACATGTTCAGTCCATCAACAAGGGAGACTGCTCATCAACTTGGCCAGTCAGCTATTGGTTAAACAGAGCCCAATATCACCTGCAGTTGGGGTCCTGAGTCTAAGAGTATTAGGGGCCCACTGCTCCTTCTGATGTACCGAAATGGAAATTAATCCCTAGACTGGTGGTAAATTCCCCACTGCTGGAAGAGTGTAGAATCAGGACCACAGGGTAGGCTGTGGTAGAGGGGATTCAAGCATTCAGTAGTGGCCTAATTTTGAACCTTGAGGATTTTGGATCTAGTGATCCCAGAGACCTGTGGGAGTGACTTCAGGAACCAAGAAAGAAAAACATCAAGGTCCAGAACATGGGGACCAGGAGTTAGGAAATGAATCTGTTATGTGTCCTTGCTCAGCAAAGTGCTTGGCCTCTATGCTTATTCATGTATAAAATGGAATCAATCACCTCAGTGAATACTGCTTCATGCAGACGTAAGGAAGAGAACAACAAAGCTCTCTCCTCCCATAAGTAAATATCAAATCTCACTTAAACCATCAAGACTCAGCTTACCACTGAGCGAGCTGCCATCTTTCTTTCATTCTTTTAACCAAAATGTATTGGGGGTCATGCTATGCCTGGATCCTGGGAATTAGACAGACAGGGAGCATTATTCTGTCTGCATTTATCTTTCTCCAACTCATATGCCATTCCTAGAAGAGTCCTGTGTGTGCCGTCTTCTGCATTTGCCATCTTTCAAATGTGTGGGTGGGGGTGTAAGACCTCTTTCCCTCATAAATAGACCCCTGGACACACACACCAGTGCCTTTGAAATGATCTGATATTTGAAGAGCTTCTTCCCTTTCCAATACAAAGCTCCAGTTATATTTATTTCAAAACTGCGGTCAAAGGTTTGGGGTTTGGGTTTTTCTAACAGCAAAACATTCTAATGTAGATACCTAGGATCTCTGAGGAGAGAGGAGGGGTGGGGAGAGCTATTTTCAATCTCTGAATATTTTATCTAATTGCAAAGTGTACCTTTGAGCAGTTTCCCCCTAGACCTGAGACTTGGTTGAATTCATCCCCTTGGCATCAAAATATAAGAGTTCAGAGTGTGGTTTGAGGCCACTGAGTCAATGGGAAAAAGTAATAATAAATTGATCTTAAAACAATGCTTGGCCACCTTTGAGCTCCTTCAAAAAAAAAGAAAAGGGTAGCTTTGGTGGCATGAACTGAGGTGGGCAGTGAGGGGCCTGTCGTGAGCCTTCCCCCTGTGTATCCTCACATGCAAGAGCAGCAGGTTGCGAGACTTAGGGGAGAGGAATAAAAATGTTTTTGTTCGTCTGTCTATCTGTCTGTCTGCCAAGTGGAAGCTGTAGACCCTATCAAATCTACTCCTTTCTCTTTTTTCAGAATTCAACCAGACAGTCCAGAGTTCTGGGAATATGACAGACAAAAGCAGTCAGGATCAGCTGCTGTTTCTCTTTCCAGAGTTCAGTCAACAGAGCCAGGGGCCTGGGCAGTCCGATGATGCCTGCTCTGAGCCCCCCAACAAGAAGATGCGTCGCAACCGGTTCAAGTGGGGGCCCGCATCCCAGCAAATCTTGTACCAGGCCTACGACCGGCAAAAGAACCCCAGCAAGGAAGAGAGGGAGGCCTTAGTGGAGGAGTGCAACAGGTAACACCACCAGAAGCTCACCGCGCAGGCGGGCAAGAGCACAGACCTGAGACCCGTCCCCTCAGTCCTGGGACATTGAGACACTGGTTACCCAGATAAGTGTGGCTCAATTAGGGTTTCCCAAAGCATAGTCTCTAGAACTGTAATTTCAAGCCATTACTAAATAAATTTGAGGCACATCATATGCATACTTCTTCTTAAGGAGTCATAAAGGACCCGAGAAGTCCTGCAGCAAGACACCCACTTAGCTTTGTTGAATTGGCTGTTAGCCATGCAGTCTTTTTTCTCTGAGGACTACCCTTATGAACTATTATTTCAGAGAAGATACTCTGGAGAGCGCTGGTCTAAAATATGATGCCACACGGGAATCATGCGTTTGACCTTCATTTAGACCAAGGGTTAAACTATCCCGTAACCACAGATTGGCTCTGTCCTCAACCAGTTGTATGTTCATTGGTCCAAAAGGAAACTTGGAAGGAGAGCAAGAACGGGTTGGGTCTGTTCAGTCCACTCTGCCCACACTAATTGGAGTTTATTTTATATCTTACCAGTTACATGTAATTTTAAAGAAAACTATTGGAAATCCATGAGATATCTTTTTGCCTCATTCCTGCCCCATCCTCCCTGACTCCACCAGTGACTTTCTTAAAATTCTGCCCTTGGCTCTGGCCTATGTATGGGCTCTCTCTCTGTCTTTGGGCTGGACTGGCTCTGGCAGTGGAAGGATGTGGTGAGAAAGGTCAGGCCAGAAAGTTGGAAGGCAGTACGACCAGCTCTGCATGTCACAGAGTCCTCAAGCTGTGCTCTGTCCCCCTGGCAGCATCCAGTGTGTCTAAGAATCTCACACCTGGACTGGGGGTTCATCAGCAATGATAAAACTAGAGGCTGCCATCTCTGCATACCCTCCTTTGTATCTCACACAGCCTGCTTTTTGGGGAGACTCCTGCAGTGAAAATAAGGGATCTGGCTTCCTTGATACCCTTATGGAGTGTCCAAACCCCAAAAGACCAGAATTCCCTTAGAGCGCTGTGAAGGGACTCAGCCAGCCAGCCAAGGACTCTGCCTTTTGTAAGGTGGGAAGAATAGCGCTCTAAGGAGGTGTCAGGAAGCCCCATCTGGACCCTTCCCTGTATTACCTGCCCCCAGCTTGCTCTCTTTTCACTGGAGGCTAAGCCCCTGGCTTCCAGGCAACGGAGTTTGCTTGGTACCTGTGTTCAGCCCCATTCTAGACATCTCATCGAGAACTACATGGGCAACTTCTTCTCGGGACAGGCTTTTCCCCGGGCTCCTACTCTCTCCTTGGCCTCTTCATGCCTCCTAACAAAACCACTGGGATTATGTGTTTGGGGCCAAGTAGAGCCAGCCACCCCCTGGCCACCCTTGCTCACCATCTCCCCTCTATCCATTCTCAGGGCAGAATGTTTGCAGCGAGGCGTCTCCCCCTCCAAAGCCCACGGCCTGGGCTCCAACCTGGTCACTGAGGTCCGTGTCTACAACTGGTTTGCAAATCGTAGGAAAGAGGAAGCATTCCGGCAGAAGCTGGCCATGGACGCCTACAGCTCCAACCAGACGCACAGCCTGAACCCCTTGCTCTCCCACGGCTCCCCCCACCACCAGCCCAGCGCCTCTCCTCCCAACAAGCTGTCAGGTAAGCAGGCCCTGGACTCGACTGCCTCGGCCACCGGACCGGACTGCTTCTCTCAAGGGTCTCATCTGGCTCAAGATTTTTCAGAGGAAAATATGCTTTGGGATGGCCCAATAGCTGGCCCCCTCCTGTTGCCAGAATACTCTTGTGAAAATAGTATGTGGCGGTGGCCAGGTTTCCTCTGAGTTCTTGCGCAGCCTCCAGGGAGCCCTTCGCCCCATTCTTCGCTGGTCCTCTTTCTCCTCTCTCTGTGGCTGACTCAGCAGGTCAGTGCCGCCAGCAGCTTGGACCAAGAAGGCTACCCTGTTGATGCGCCAGATCCAAACTACAGCCAGAGAGGTTGCCTGTCATTGCCTCACATCAGGGCTCTGTCCAGCTGCAGCAGGAGGAGCCAGGGACCTCTGGGGAAGGGCCACTCTATGGGTGGCCTCTGCTTGTTGGCGTCTGCTCTGCCAGAGTTACGGTGGAGTTAGTCACTTGAAATCTTTGCAGTGATGACTTGGCCAAAACCAGCTGAGGACCTACTGTGTGTTTCTGTGTGCCAGGCCCCGGTCTGGATCAGCATGCCTGTGCTATGGTGTATGGGCTTGTCAAGATGGAATCCCACATCTTCATTGTGAGAAAGCACCCCCCGGCTGAGTGCTGCATCAGGCATACGCTGGGTTGAGCACTTCTCTGCCGGGGCTCAGTTCTTCCGGGCAAGCTGGCTTCCCAGGATGCGTGTGCTTACTGAGGCCCATTTGGTGGCCACATAGACAAAGTGTGTGATGGTCCCCTGTCTGCTCTGGGATAGGGCTTGTGAAAGGAGAGCAAGCACCATTTCTAACCTGAGAGTAGTTCTGAAACCTATGTCTCCCCCTTGCCGGCTGGCTGCCCTTCTGCTGGGAGAGGCCGGAGATCTGGAGCTGACCTATGTGTTGGGGATGGGGGGTGCGCACAGTGAAGGCTCAGAGCTACCAGCTAGGTGGTATCCAAGCATTTATTTCACACTGTAACCTCCCATAGCATGACCTCTTCAAGGGTCTCTAGGAGCCTGTAACTGTCCAGCATGAAGCCCAGGCCAGGGCTCGGAGCTTCTCTGGACCCAGCTCCCACAGAAGGAAGGGCTCAACTACATGGAGAGAAAGTTTGGGTTACTCTTGAGAGGCAATGAAGCCCCCACCCCAACACTGGCCTGATTGCAGAGTAACTTAGTCCCTTTATGGAAATTCAAAGCAGGGTTCAGAGGACAGTGGCAAACAACTTGTGGCCAGTGCTTGCTGCCCGCAGTGATCCATGGAGCTGGAGCAGGGAGCTGCAGGGGGTGTGGTTGGGGCAAGGGGCATTATTGAGAAGACAATGGCTATTGTGCTGGGACTTGTGATCTCCACACCAAAGTCAGAGAGCCTGCAAGCCAAACAAAGGCCCAGCAGCTTTCTGACAAGCTGGGGTTGTGGTGAGGTCACCACGGAGTCGTTAGCTTAGGCATTCTGTGTATTGACAGGAGGCCCAGAGTGCTGGGGATGGAGGGATGGCAGCAGGTCCTGGAGGCTAGGCACGGCCCAGACACCCCTCTGTTCAGTCTGAGAAGGCACATCCTACTAGACGTGGATTCTCTGGGGTCCCCGGAAGTCTTGGCCTTTTAAAAAATCATGGGATGTTAGAACTAGAAGGGACTTTGGAAAAGGAACTGAGGCCTGCTGATTCCCACACCATACTTTCCACAGCACAGGTATGCTCTGAGAACGTACCAAGTCCTAACACCATGCTGGTGATGAGTGAGACACGTGTCCCTGCCCTGCCAGCTTATTATCTAGTTGGAAGGCATCCTACCAGCATGGAGTCCCTATAACCGTCTGGGAATTGAGCTCATCTTTGGGGGCTTTATGTGTCTTTCTAGAGACAGACTGGTATTTATAGAGCCATAATTGTGGGATACTATTTTTTTTTTTTTCTCTACTGGCTGCCTTTTCCTCAGCCTTAATCTTCACTTAGGGTTGATCAAGCTAGACCTTGTCCACACCCAGGGACTAGATTCTCTGGACTTGGTTTTGAATCTGGGTTCTAATCAACCAGGTTAATTCCAGGACAACAGCATGGCAATTCTCATAACTTCTCTGAGTCTGACTTTCCTGTCTGTAAAATGGAGAGATTGTATCTACCTCCTAGGGTCTGTGTGTGGGTCAAATAAGAAAATATGTAAACATCATCTTTCCCAATAAACCATCACTGCTGTCATTATCATGATCATTATTGTTACAGAGGACTGAGCAAGTGGCAGGAGAAACAAATGACAGGCAGCAGAAAGCTATTTCCTTTTAAATTCCACACACCGGGGCCTCACTCCTGAGAGGCAGTGAGATGTGTCCTGGCCCTGGGCCTGAAAGCAGAGGCGGCTGCTGGGCTGGTGCCCGGGGTGCAGGGACTGGGGATCAGTTCCGGTGTGCCCCTCTCAGGCTGCCAGGCTGGCTGGCACATGCGCTGTGATGGGGCCCTTTGGGAAAGCACCTGGGGCTCAGCAGACAGCAGACTGGAGCCCAGTGCTCAGGGAAGGCTTTGGGCTGCAGAGCCTCGTGGTGCACTTTCCATCACGGTCCCCACAACCAAAGTGAGGGCTGTTGGTCTCTAACCAGGCCCAAGATGTAACTGGATGGAGAATGCAAAAAGCTTTGTGGTGACTGACCTCTAAGGCTGAGCTGGGGAGACAAAGCCCCAATCCCCCCACCCCACAGCCCCTCCCTCCTCCCGCTGAAACACCAGCATCTGAGCCAGGAGGACTGGAGGCACCTTAGAGACAAGTCTTTCCCTTGAAGCCTCTTCCTGGAGAGACGAGCATCCCTTCGTTACCTGAGCCCCTTCCCTCCCAGCCACGCTTAGTGCGTTGTAGCCCACTTGCCCACGATGACCACACTGTGACCCTGGTCCTGGAATGTCCTGCACAATAGGAGTGGCAGGAGGAGCACTTTGCCTCTGTCAGCGGCTGATTGGTTACAAGGTGCCCTACAAACACACTGTCAGCAGAATCAGCTGTTTTCAGCGTCACCCCTCCCGGCTTTACAATCACACATCAGCATGCAGCCCGGGTTGTCATGGCTTTGTGTCCCTTATGCATGCTTAATTGACAATTAAGTTGGGGCTTTGAACCGGCCTGGCTGCCGCTGATGGGCCTTCATCTTTCCAGGGAGTGTCACAGGGGCACCCTTTGTTTGCTCTTCTTGGGGGCCTGAAGTTACTGTAGCAGGCTGCAGGCAGCCATTTATCTTCAGCCTGGAAAGCCTTTATCTGTACCCCCCATTCCAACTCTTGCCAGCAGGAGCTGTCCCTGGTTATAGGCCCCATGACAGCCCATTCTGAGGCCATTGAGCAGGCCCGGAGTGATGGCCCCTACCTCCATTCTGGAGCGGAGTCAAGAGAAAGGCCCCCAAAAGGTCAGAGAGCAGGGCTGTGGCAAGGAAAAGGACTGGTTGGGGACTGGTGCTCGTATTGATCGGCTCGAGGAGGAGGAGGAAGTTGGCATGGGCTGGAAGCTGGGCTAGCCTTGGACCAAGCCATGGAATCTGGCTGCGTGATCTGGGGTGGCCTTGCTCACTGTACCCTTTGCTCTAATCTGCAGCAAACTCACCTGGCCACCTCCAGCAAACTTACCCCACTGCAAGGAAGGGGCAGAGGTCTTCATCAGCCTTCAGTCGCCCCACACATAATGTCCTTATTCTTGTATCACCTTTCCAGATGGAGATCAGGGCTTACTCTCCTGGAAAGAAAGGGAGTCACAGAGGTGAGCAGAAGCCCTTCTGGGATAACTTTCAGCTACCCTGAACCATGCTTCTTTACCCAAGAGGAGACATTCAGTTCTTGGCGGCTTGCTCTTCTCTCCCTCTGAACTCTATTCCTCTTTCTCCAAGCCCAGTGGACTTGATTGCCTGATGGTCAGACCAGAGCTTGTAACCACAGCATCCTGTCTCCCCCTCTTCCCCTTTCACATCTCCCAAGTCACCCTCAGGAATCTAACCCTGGGTCTCAGACAAACCAAGCCCTGAGCTAGGATATCTGTGTGGTTGCTGTCGTTTTCCTTGATGTTGAAATCCACGGGACCCAAGGAAATCTCAAAAGTGCCCAGTGGCAGGGTTGTAACTAAAGTGAATCATCATAACAGCTAGTGTTGATTGAGCACTTCCTGGGTACCAGGCCCTGGGCTGAGCACCTACATACATACATGCATCATCTTTAATCCTGATAACACCCTGACGGGTGGAAGCCATTTGTATCCTTATCCCCATTTTACAATCAAGGAAGGTAAGATGTTTAGAATCTAATTAATTTGCCCAAGTTCATAGAGATAGTAAGTGGCAGAGACAGGTTTTGAGTTGTCATACCCTGCCCATCGCTCTTTGCTTTCTAGAGATGCTAAGAACCTTTCAGGCATGAAAACCAACATACACACACAATCCCTACATAGTCCCTTCTTCTCCCACATTCTTACTGTTCCCCTCTGAGTGACAACGAGGCTTTGGGAGAGCATGGCAAAGGAGGTGGGGTAAGGGTAGGGGTCTCTCGGTCTGGCTAGTTTACTGCTTCCCCCCACCCAAATGTTGCCCCTGACCGAGGTGGATTTTGCGCCCTGCCCAGAGAAGAAACAAAGCCATCTCTTTCACAACTCCATTCCCATCTGGGTGGGGATTTGAACTGCCCTTGCAGTCAGCACTGTCTGGGGCACTAAATGTCTTAACAACTTAATGGGGCTTCTTAGACAGTGCAGGCACCTCAGCTCACCTCTGGAGCTCCACCCCCTCCCTGTGCAGCAGACAAGGGGAGGGGGTTTATGAGGGCAATTGTAAAAATATTCATCTCGGCAGCAAATGTCTCCATAGTAAGTAAGCCCCTTTGTCCCTAAGTAGCAGATGATTTCAGTTCAGAAAAGAAACAAATCCCGTCTTGAAATGTCTGCTATTTTAAAAAACCCTTTTGCACTGACTTGGAGTTCAGTGGTGGACCCGGCCCCAATGTTCTCCTTCACAGGGACTTTA